CACACACACACACACACACACACACACACACACACACACACATACATACATACACACACACTCACTTACACGCACACTCACACTCTCACACACACACACCCACACACACAGACACAGGGGGCTCTCGTGGCCTAGAGGTTAAGGTGTTGGCCTCTCATTCAAAGGTTCCGGGTTCGAATCGGGTAGCGACCGAAAATTTTTCTTCTCTAAAATTGTCTCCTTTCACCTCCTTTCCTGCTCTCTAGCAATGTTCTGTTGTCTGCTTTCATTTCCACTTACTGCCCCAACCCCCTCACCTCCTTTGCCCCCTCCTCTGGGCTCCTGACTCTTTCTGCAGCCTTTCTCAGTGGCGGTGGGTGGACCAAGATTTGGGTGGGGCTTAGTTTTCTTCCACTTCTTTACCACCAAAAAGCAAGCAATAAGAACAAAACAGTGCTAGTTTTTCTATACTCAAGGGCGAGCCACGGTATTTTGAGAACCATTCAAATGAGGAGAGTCACCTTTGTCCTCCATCTCTTTGTTCTACGTTAAATTCTTATGGATGGTGGGAACGAAGCCGTTTCATCTCCAAATTTCTCTAGTTAGTTTTTATCTGATGAAAAAGTTGCCTCAAAAGTGGTTTGATGTAATTAATAAGTGTTAAATCTCAGCGGCACAAACACATAGCACTCCAAAAACCTACCGTCTCTGAGGTGGATTGGGTCGTGTTGTTGCGGAAAAGGCCCATTAATAGGTAACTGTGTCACTGGGGGAAAGTGTGTCGTAAACTTTCACCCCATTGTCAGGGATGGGAGAGCGTGAGCCCTCTGTGCAGTGATATTTCTTTTAAAGTCTTCTATCTTTTTACAAGAAGAGTTTCATTAAAAACGGGCGTGGGAACGGGCTTATTCTTTCTGAGCCCTAACGACATTTGATTGGCTGTTAGGTTACTATAGTTGTAAGCGGTGACAACAATGATTGCATAAACGGGCAAGCCGCCAAGCTGATCACTGTGTGTTCATTGCGTTCGATCATAACGGTTTCAACTTCTTATTTCGTTATTTAAGAAACTTTAATTAACTAAAGAATATAGTTAGGGTGGGGTGGGGGTGGGGGCTCAAGCCCGTAAGCCCTTCACTACCCACCGCCACTGGCCTTTCTACTGTTACTCCTTGGCTCCTACTTACTGCTGTCTTTCTGCCACACCCCTGATTTTCTGGTAGGAAAGATCTACACATAGCCTTCTCGGACAAGGGCGAAAAATCTCGGAGGGCCCGTGTGCAAGTTGCGCACGTTAAAGATCCCTTCGTGGTCTAAAATCCATAAGAGTAGGCTTCGGCCGCCACCCGGGCAAAATTCAAAATTTCCTACCAACTGAAAATATTAGGTGTGTCCCGCGCGCTCATATGACCTTATGCAGTTGCGAGCGCCGTAAAACACTTTACAAAAACAAAAACACAGACACACACACAGACACACACACAGACACACACACACGCACACACACACACACACACACACACACACACACACACACACACACAAACACACACACACACACACACACACACACCGATCCCCTCTTTCACTTTGAGCTGCCTGCGTCAAGTAATAATAATAGCTCGTCCGTCAGTTCTGACGATGACCTAAACATCCGCAACGGAGTACAGTTCTAAGGCGAAATGGAGAAGTTAGAAGAAATAATTAAAGGTTAACATGACTTAGTGGCGTCGGTAGCCTAGCAGTTAGGCTACTGGACTCATAATCGTGAGATTGCGGGTTCGGGGGTTCGAGCCTCAGCTCAGTCCGACGTTGTATCCTTGGGAGTACTTAAGTACTTAACAAGAACTTCCCACTTGGCTCGGTCCTATTGGAGACGTACGTTAAACTAGGAGGTCCCGCCCCTTAAATAACCTAATAGTGTTGATAGGGGCGTTAAACCCATACCATTTCACCTTTTCACGATGACTTATGGCTTCTTCTGTGGACGATGAGATCAATTCTGGCAGAGAAAGGTTTGTCACAAAAGTATGGCGTAGGGAAATGACCGAACGAATATAAATAAGGACATCGTGTTAGTTGAACCCTTTTTTTTATTAACTAAAGTGAAAAATATCACAAACTACAAACAATAACTTTAGACAGTGGATAAAGAAGTAGAAATCAAAGGAAGGGTAGACGTCAGGAACTGAGGACAAGTTGATCAGCCGGACCTACAGAGCTCGGCAAATTCCGTATTTCTCCGTGACTTCCATGATAGCGTTCATGACGTCTATTTGGGGCTGGTGGTTGCAGAGGTTGATAAAGGCCTGCAGGTTTCTCCTGGCGAATGGGTACCTCCCCATGTCGATGCCAGGACACCGGGCAGAGAAAAGGCTCAGGGCGGCCTTGTAACACTCAGAGTTGTCTACTCGCTCTTTGCCGGTCAGTATGTCGGTCTCCGTCACACCTCTGAGGCTGGACAAGGCTGCCCTGACCAGGTCTTTGGTCAACGATTCGGCTTTTTTCTTTACCAGCATCAAATGGCGTAATTCGGCCTCGAGCTTTTTCCGTTTCTGACCACTGAGATCACGGGACTCGATGAGGCGACGGGCTGTGGTGGCGATCTGAACCATGTCAAGGGCGGGGTTGTTGAGGTCAATTCCGGCGTACGTGAACTTTGACCCCTGAGTATGTTCATCTGTGTCCTGTGTGTTACGACAGACCCCGGGTGTGTACTGCTCTGATTTTGCCTGGTACTGAGCTAGGACTTCCTTGTTCATGCTTAGGTATCCGTATTGCTGGGGGTGACTCACGCCTCTAGCTGTGCTGCAAGCTTTTTTCACCACTTCGTACTGCTGGTAGAGTGTTTCCTTGTGGAGATTTGTCTTGTCTGTGTTATACATCCAGGCGTTATCATAGACACTTCCTACGTACACTTTACGAAATTGATCCCAACAGCACATATATGCACCCTCGTGGGCGTTGGCGGATGTTGTAACGTAGATATTGATATTGTTCGGGAGTAGACCTTCGAACATGCTTCCCGAGTAGCAGGACTGCATGTAAATCACCATCTCCTTGTAACTTTTCTCTCTGTACATCTGATTGAGGACGTTGATGAGGTCGGTGTTGTGCAGCCCAGTCAAATCTGGGAAGTAGAAGACCCCTGGACTTCCATGATCAATCATATAGACGAACACATGATCGTCAGGACCGCTGGCAATTACCTTACCGTCACGACCAATCAGCTCCTTTACGCCCTCCTTGTCGCCAGCGAGAACTTTGAGAAAGACTTCCGGTGTAACTTCTTCCTTCCGATAGTCCATTTCACATCCAGGGTAAAGGTTCGGCCCTTCTGGAACGTTGACGAGGTTTCCTTGGATGGGATTCTCGGGGTCGTGAGCTACGTCATCGTTAGACATGTGGACGATGTTCTCTGGGGGGATGCTGTTGTTGCGCATCGAGTGGTAGGCGTGGCACGTGCAGGACTGTGTTTGTGGGGGGGGGGGGGGGGGGGGGGACACATACACGATTAAATATAGCAAAGGAGTAAATGATTACTTGTAAGAGAGAAATAAACGCGCTCACAGAGTCATTCATACTGATGGTCGCTTTTAGCACAAGGGGGCTATCCCGAAAAATGCTGTTTTGAGAAAAGGTAAAGTTTTGTCCCTTGTTTAGTTTCTTTAAAAGAAAAGGAGAGTTTTCTTTACAACCAAAAAAATGTACACACCAATGGAACCAAACTTCTCGTATAGGTAGGGCAATGCCCACTTTTGGTGTAGGTCAAGGTTTCTGGAAACCCCCGAAATCTAAATCTGGGTTAGCCCGCTTGTCCTTAAAAGCGACCAGATGAAGTGTCAGTGGAGTAAAAACCAGAGACTTATACAAACGTAATGGTATCAAAAACCTTGCACTCTGGAGCATTTCCGGTTCATTAAGGAGCGCAACATGTGTGAGGTAAATGAAGGACAAAGGGGGAGAAATTCCGTGTACTTGCGATAATAGAGAAGCTGGTGTCTCTGTCCGTCATTTGGGCGTTAGGGCACTGTCCATGATGATATGCACGCTTCGCGGCCAAGTTTTTATAGTGAGCAAAGAGCGGCGACTACAACTGTGCATGATTTAGGAAGACACATCTATGTGTTATGTAGTAGCGTAGACCATAGTCTTAAATAAAATCCTAGATTGGGTACAGTCATGATTGACGTTCTTTGTTCTCGTACACTTAATTTTTACTTACTACTACTACTACTACTACTACTACTACTACTACTACTACTACTACTACTACTTCTTCTACTACTACTATTACTACTACTACTACTACTACTACTACTACTACTACTACGCCTACGACTATGACTACGATTACTACTATAACGACTACGACTACTACTGCTACTACTACTACTATTACTACGACTACTACTACTACTACTACTACTACTACTACTACTACTACTACTGTTACTACTACGACTACTACTACTACTACTACTACTACTACTACTACTACTACTACTACTACTACTACTACTACTACTACTACTACTACTACTACTACTACTACTACTATGATGGTGATGATAGTAAAAAAATGTAACAATAACAACAACAAGAACAAGAACAATAATAATAATAATAATAATAATAATAATAATAATAATAATAATAATAATAATAATAATATTAATGATAATAGTTAGCATTTGTATAGATAGCGTAAAAACCGCCCAGCAGCAAGCTCTAAACGCTTTACAATACAATCTATTTTGACGACAGTTCTCCTGATAGCACTCAAAAGCAATCTCAACTTCCTGGGAAGCATAATGCAAGCTGCCATTTCATAGGCGCTGAAACACTAATATAATGACAACATCTTAAGCTGTCTATGGTCAGGTATCCTTTCCCCGCGTCTGGGTGAATGGAGAAACATTTTGTTAAGTGCCTTTCTCAAGGACACAAAGGCCAGGGGCCCAAACTCCCGAACTCGAAAACCCCACGATTTAAGGGCCATTTAGCCTAACCACTAGACTACTGAGGCCATATTAGTAACGGGTACACGCGAAATAATTTCTTCTTGGGATCTTTAGTGTAGAAGAAAAAACTATGGTTTAAGTAGGGAGGTGCGGTTCGTTCATTTGTTTCGTTAAGGAGAATCTGAAGGGGCCAGACTGTCTTGAGTTGGCGAGACAACGAACAGAACTGTCAGGTGAACGGACATTGCGGATGTAGGACGTTGCTGCGACATCCGCCAACCACCTTCTGGGGAACTAATGTAGATATCTAACGCCCCCCCCCCCCCTCCACACACACACATACACCTGAAAAAAAAATCGATACAAATTAGATACATACAAATCGATATGTGAACTTTATAAGTGGAGTCTGTACAATAACTATGGAATAATTTTTTTTTAAAGACTAGGTAGACTTGAAGAAAACGGCACAAATTAACAATCTTTTAATCTGCCTATTTCGACTGATAAGTCCATTTTTACATTGCTAGAAGTAACTCATTTTGTCAGCACGCCTCACATATCTTTTGGGAGGCGGGCGCTTCAACCCGGAGGTGAATGGGATAAAACGTCCCAGGAGACAGACAGAGACGCTCAAAAAAGTAAATAACCTCTCCACTCGAGAATTACATTCAAGGTTTGTGCGTGTAAAAGCAGGGGGTCTGGCCATTCCACCTCAGACGTTCAGTGGAGGAAGGTGGAAGGTGGAAGGTGGAAGGTGGAAGGTGGAAGGAGGAAGGTGGAAGGTGGAAGGTGGAAGGTGGAAGGTGGAAGGTGGCCTTCTACTTTTAGTATGTTCCTGATGAGGAAGCAGTTACCAACAAATACCTGAAATTCCAGGGGTTCTGACAAGTTGAAAATGGTTTCGCAGTTAGGGTTTTGCTTGATTACATTGTTGGCCATGCAACAGACAAATATATTTATATATGCAAGCACACACACACACACACACACACACACACACACACACACACACACACACACACACACACACACACACACACACACATATCGCTGGTGGAGTGATGAAACCTCGCAACCCCAGAAAGGAAAATTTTACAGGAGAGACAAAAAACTGATTTACTCGTGAACAAAATGACCTATGTGAACCAAAGTCGGTACAGATAAATGAAAACACCTTAGAAACGTGGTTATTACATAAAAATTACTTTTCTACTGTTTAAATGGTTACGCTGTGGGATGCGAGGTTTCATCACAACATTTTTGTCCTGATGAAACCTCGTAGTCAGCCGGCGGGAGGGTTGCGAGGTTTCATCAGGACTGAGTTTGAGGGTTGCGAGTTTTCTCGCAGCTCATTTGGTTGCAGTATGCATCTGTTGTTTGGAACGCCACAAAGTGATGAAGATGTTTCTTCAAGATCAATTAGTTTAGAGTTGGATTCCCGGCCAAATGAAGTCAAATAAATGTGTGTTATCTGCAGAATTTGTGTTTGAAACCTCAAACGCATCAGCGATTTGTGCAATCTGTTTCAATATAATTTTCCAGGATTAGATCTGGTTACTTCCATTTTACAATAGTATATCTCTGCAATATGGTCTCTGGTTGCACTACAGATGGCTTTCACAATGGAAAGAAATATATCTAGATCAAAATATAGACCTGTTTTTCTAAGTTTTAGTGCGTCAGTCCATTACACAATTTATTAAGAAAACAATGTAACACACACACACACACACACACACACACACACACATACACACACACACACACACACACACACACACACACACACACACACACACACACACACACACACACACACACACAAACGCCCAACACAAAATGCTTTGAGAAACGAATGGAGGATGTCAATCAAATAAAAGGTGGTGGGTAATGAAAACTAATAAGGTTAATTATGAAAATACTTAACGTACGTGCGGACAAAACCCCCCAAAAAGATCAGTACGATGTCTGGGACTGAACCCCCCCCCCCCCCCCTCATAATGAATAGCTATTAATGATAAGGGGGTAAACTGTTATAAAGTGATGACGTATATTGGAAATAACAGATTCAAGCTCCTGCAGGTGATTGTAATGATAAGGGGGTAAACTGTTATAAAGTGATGACGTATATTGGAAATAACAGATTCAAGCTCCTACAGGTGATAGATAGCATTTGTATAGCGCATATCCCCGCTCAGCAGTAGGCTCTATGCGCTTTACACTATTTCTGTGTCCTGCCTTCGTAACGTCAGCCCATTCATCACTGAAGTGCAGCTTGAACTGGATGTTCATGTCTGGGGTGTACTTCAAACACCTGATGTCGGTGACAACAGGATCACCAGTTTTTCTTTCTGGTCTGATTGACTTGTAGCTTCCTCACTTAGAATAATGTGTGATCCAAATATTTGTCTGGTTTTTCTCTGGCCATCCTGGAGGAATGGAGGTAGTGTAGGGGGACCTCGATTCGTGCTTTTCCAACTGATCTTTCAATAGTTGAGCGCACAGTCAACTTACATTTGTGTGTGTCCTTTGATCAACAATTTCTGTTCAATTGTGCTACCATGTGTTGTTGCAAACAGGCTTAGAGAAACATTGGCTAGTGTGGCATTTCTGTATTGGTAACCACAGCAGTCGCTGTCGATGATGGTTCTCTGGAAGTACAGATTTTCCTTCAAGAAAGCCAGTATACATGAAGCAAACTTATTTGCTAATTCCCCCTTCTGCTTCATGCCACACGTAACAAGTAGCCTGATGTGTTGCAGCTTCAAATATCGTAAAGTTATGAACGACACGCTTTGTTTTGTAATATAAGGCTGATGCATTCAGTTTGGGGGAGTGTAAGTGTAAGAAGTACAAGCTGAAGATCCATAGAAAACATGCCCCGTTTTAGGTTCATCACTGGCGAGATATTTGATGGCTTCAGATTTGTCTCGTTCCTTTTCCTTGCCCGCTGCCCCTTTTCTAGAGTGTGAGCATTCCAAACATCACCCGCACGTTGCCAACTTCACGGATAATGCAAAGGTCGCACATATCTTTCTTTGGCATGAACAAGACAGGCTATTCATCCTGATTGTTTCATTGATTGGGGGGGGGGGGGGGGTGCCTGTTGAGAGGCTACCTCCCGTGGTCTTGGCAGAATTGTACTTGCATTTTGTAGATATCTGAGTTCCTTTGATAACTGGTTCTAAATGTCGCTTACAAATCATTCACTCAAACCAGTTGAATGCAGGAACATCTTTTACACACTGGCACTTTATGACCACCATTTTAAATGTGTATTTGAAGCTATGCCCAGTCTGGTTACTTTCTGAACGCCTCCTATGAGGTTGGTCTATGTCCACTAGTCCAATAAAGAGACATTTTATTTTCATCCCATGAGAGGACCACACTAAATCAAAATTAATGTGTCTGTCTTCCTCGAGAGCCCTTTGCCCTTTACATTTCAGAGTTCAGCTCTTTCAATCACAGTTTGGTTTCAGTGAAGTAGCTGGGCTTTTCATTGAATCATTATGGTATTCCTGACCAGATCCACGGATGGCCTTCGCTTATCTGTTGCCACCCTTGAAAAACCCTTTCTTTTCCTCTGTGCCATCCCAAATGCGTTGTGTTTCTGGATCAGGCTCCAGGAAAAGTGGCTAAGGTCCCTGAAGGTGAGATGGACCTAGGAATGTAGTTTGCAGATCGTGTTTCTGTGACTCCGCAGGTAATAATTCAGCTGACTTACAGCTACCTGGTGAAACGTCAGTATGGTTTGGGGCGTGATTCCAGGCGACACTGGTGTTGGTGCAGACTCAGTCTGGGATGATGCTGATACTTCCTTGCCCCCACATATAAGACACATCTCTGGAAAGGACTTCGAAATGGTAGCTGGAGTCAATTCATGGAACAGGGTCTGCTCAGTGGTTTCCAAACCAGCCCTTGGATGGTGTAAAAATCTAGGTGATGCGAGCATAGTTGGGGTTAGATATTCAAAACAGCTGCGTAAATGTCCATATCACTTGTATTGTTGAGGCACAAATTTATCACAATGTCCTCTATAGACTTCAGGGTCAAGAAGAACATGGGTAGGTTCAGTACTATTTTGTCTCAACCACGACTGAAAGATTCGACTAATCAGCGGATTCATAGTCTGAGAAGGGATGAAACCTTACCCTCTCTCTGATAAACAAAATGGCCAGGTGACATCTAGAGAGTGCATAGACTTGTCACTTATTCTTATTAAGGACTATTGTCACCTGTCTTTTCAAAGTGTGACTGTTGCCTTAAATTAAATGTTAACTACGTTTGTGCTTTATGAGAACATCTTGTTTACCAATACGTTAGTCATCCTTTTAACAGGATTTCAAATGATTTACCTAATGTAACTCCTTCACTTATGATCATATTTGAATTTCTGAACTGACTGAAATAAAATGGATGAATAAAAGAATGAATGAATGAATGAATGAATGAATGAATGAATGAAGCATTTCTTTATTAAGTCAGGCATATAAAATGCACCAGACAATGTCAGTTATGGGTGCTTCAATTAAGCTAATTCATAAAGAAGGCTTATCCAGAACCTCGTAT